AAAAAATCCAATGGCGCAGCTTAAAACTGTGCTGCGTGGTCATGGCAAATGCACTCCAGCTGCCTTGGGAGCTGGCAGTGCAGTTGGTGAGGTTTCAATATGGCTTTGGAAAAGGCAGCTTCAAGCCACTTTTTCCTGCCCATCTGTTTCGCCCCTAAGATCCTGAGTTTGAAAGACCTAAACAGGACAGTTGATGATGGGGGGGGGGGGAATCTAGGAGTTCTTTCATTCATAGGGTTAAAATAACAACATCAATATAATTAGCATTATGAACTATTGAGTTCTTTTCTCTTTTTTCTAGAGCTGTTTGTGTTGTAATTTTTTTTTACTGTGCATCTTTTCCTTGTGGCTCTTTTGGTTTAACTTCTCTTTTCCTTTTGTGCGAAACATGGTGTTTTGTGTTTTTTTTTTTTTAAAAAAAACCCTTAGTTATGTCTTGTTTTCACTTTCTTTTCCTTTCCAATGGTTCTCTCAAATATGTATAATGAAAGGAGGCTTCAGAACAACAAAAAAGCCTTTTTAGAGTCCTTGTCAATAATTGAGTGCATTCTCTAATAAGCAGTCCCATTGCCATAGATTGTTTTCCACAGACTTTACTGCTTCAATAGGTATTCTGGTGATTCGCAGAAATAGAGGTTACCAGTTGCCACTGTAAATCAATTATGTTACATTAATTCATTCGCTCCCCCACCCCCTTTTACCAAGAAGAAAAATCCACATGCTTCTAGGCATTATATTCTCCACTGAATATAAATTGTTCAGTGTACATTTTGTCTGAACATTAATATGTTTTTGTGTATCAGGTCAAACATTCAAAAATATATGACACAAGCTGTCAAAATTCAAACTTTCAAAAATGAATTTTCCAGTACCATTTCTTCTCTTCTTTCTCTTCAACCACTTAAGCTTTCTAATTTTCTTTATATCACAAAATGATACAATATTTTAAATCAACTATAGGACAAAAAATGACAACAAAATACATATAATAAGGTAATCTAAAACAAAGTTTTCCACTAAAATAAGAGGAAATGTGATATATCATTTCATATAAAAAGTTATATCTGATGTCAAAAACTTAACTATGGAGCTTATCGCTCTGCTAAGTAAAGGGTCTTACCTCTCCTGAATTGAATTTTAATTCGGGCTGCATCCAGATACTATCACAGGGATTTTTCCACCAAAATCACCGGCAGAATACAGCCTGGGTCCAGCCCTGTTCCCAGGAGTGTTCCAGCAGCTGTTTTCTTAAATCAGAAAACTCGCAATTTCTAAAGAAGCATGCTGAGCACCCCTGGGACCCAGGGTGGACTTGTGCTGGATTTGGGCAGTGTTTTCAGGAGCAAAATCCCTGTGATAGTATCTGGATGCAGCCCAAATCAAAAGCCCAAATCAAAATTGGGAGAGGTAAGACACTTTATCTTAGGAGCTCCTAATATTAGGGTATTGAATAACTTTTATCAGGTCATCTGGTTGGCATCTTTTGTCACCTTGTCCATTATTCTAATTGTGTCACTCAAGGGGATATAGCTGCCTTTGTCAAACACTACTGTGCAACATAGGGCAGAGGAATCAGTTTAGGAGTGGTTCCTTCAATGCCTTCTAAAGACCACATGAGTCCAGGAGACATGTGCACACTTCCTGCTGTCCCTAGCAACAGTATATGCATGGAATGGAGAAAAAGAGCAACATACTTTCACTGAGAACTTTCACAAGTGACAGGGTTCTAAGGTGATGTTTCAGCCAGAACCTGCAAATACCACCTAAGAGGGATGACATCTAAACGTGTTTGTAGCAGTTCCTTGCTGGTGGAGACTGAGTACCCAGGGTAAAACTCAATCAGTGCCTTCATTTCTTGTCCCTCCTCATATGAGTAAGAAGCAGGGGAAACAAAAGCGAATAGTGGTAATTAATTTATAGTGTATAGCTAAAAAGTAGGTAGGGTAGTGACAAGGTGGTAAGTGATCTTAAGCTCCATATGGATTTCCTCAGTCCATAAAATGGAGTGTATTCAGACTGAATTTCAAGATAGATTTTAAACAGGGATTACTTGATAATCTAAACCCTATTTAGATATTAGTTAAAGCATATAGAAAAGGGCAATTTAACCCCTACTCTCATTTTCTGGGTCCATTGTCCTCTTTGTGTGGAGAGAAATAGTTTTATGTATAAAGTATCTGTTATCCTTAAGGTCTGTCCATATGATCTGAAACTCTTATTTTCTAGGATTCTAACTATTTTCTTGTTTAGAGGAGTTTCTCTGGTATGGAAAGTTACTATATTTGCAAATGAGTGTGATGGGAATTACGATGGAGGTGATGATAGAAGGTTTTGGAGGAAAAAATAGCGACACAAAATAATGTGTACAGTTAAAATGTATACGATTTATTATTGGGTTTAAACCTCAGATTATTGCTAAATTCCCTCACTTATCCTTATCAAATTCTGATGCTCTTCCTTTTCTTCACAGAAATTTTATGTAAATAACATACTGTGTGTGTGTGTGTGTGTGCATGTGTGTGTGCGTATGCACGCACGCAAACACACACATATAATTTTAGTTTGATTAAAGTGTGTTTGAGAAATGCTTGCAAAGTGACAGAATAAGATTCTAGCAATAATCTGAAGTTTAAATTCAATTGCTAGTCCCACCTTGAGTTGATTTAGTCAGAGAGATTTACCATTCAACAATTGATTCAATAGATCTATTCTATCTGGAATTAGCAATTGAATTTAGACCTAAGAAATTCAGTGAAAATAAGTCTGAGATATTTTCACTGTATATGTCAGTCAAAGGTAGCTTTCATTGTCAATTTTTACATGTTTCTACAAACATAGTCTTCTCCAACTTTATGTCCTTCATAAGACTTGGATGGGATAATGTGGTCATTATAGTTCAAATATTTTAGAATCATAGAATTGAAGAGACTATAAGAGTCATCCAATAGGATGCAAAGCAATACTAAACAATCAAGACAATCCTCTGTTTAACATCCCTCCCCCCCCCCCAAAAAAAAGAGTCTCCTTCTTTTCTTCTCACTCCAAAGCAGCATATTCCATTGTAAGGCAGCCTTTACCATCAGGAATGTGTTCCTAATGTTTAGGTGAATCTATTCTTCCTCTAGTTTGAATATATTCTTCAGCAAAAATTATCCAGCAAGATCAAACCAAAGGCCTATCTGGTCTGGCATTCTATTTCACACAGATATCTCCCGGCTCTTAGAAATGCAGCTTTCCCAGGAGTTGTGCAGTGTCAGTAGTGTCTAATGTTGTTTGTCTCATTCCTTCTTAAGCAAATAAATATGCAGATTCAAAGGAATAGGCAAGCATTTTTCAACACCAGGAATCTTTATTAGTTGCATTTTCTAGGATTTAGACTGCAAGTATTCTGTCTTAAAATTATGCTGCAAACACTTTCGAGTTGTTCATGTCTACCTATTTCATCCTTTTCGATGACAAAGCCTCCCATGCTGATCCATAACGCAACTGGCTTTGGTGGCATATATATGTATGGGGGGATCTATCATACACAAGAAAATAAAATGCTAGCATGAGTCATATTTGTACAGCATATAACGATGGAGAGCTCTGAATCAAGCTGGGGCCACTTGGTAGCAATGTAATATAAATAATATCAACCTGCTCTCCTAGACCTTGGTTCATTCTTCTCACAGCCCATAAAGCTTTCTCTTTCTCAGTAAGTTGTTTAGCATTCTCCTGACCACTATAGCTTCATGCTTTGAAATCCTAGCTTCCTATACATATTTCCAACTTCAATTTCAATATGTACTGCTAAACTAGTGGCACATAAGTTCTGATCTTGAATCACAGATACAATTGCCAATTCAATATTTAGAATGAGAGAGAGACACAAAGCAAACATAAGCCACAACATCCAAGTCACATACAGCTATAAAAAATTTGAGAACACAAAGACTTTCTTCCTCGACCAAAAGAAAGATAAAAAAAATTGTTTGCAAAGAAAAATAGCCAGATGCACCTGCAAAACTTAAAAGCACACCATGAAGTCCCATCATGTTACCCCACACTTTGAACTGTTCGGTGTTGCAGGAGCAGGTTTGTGTATGAATCTATTCAGCAGAGTTTAACTTGCAGCAGAGAAACCACCACGC